CCAATCTTGCAAGCACTAAAATTGGAAGGGTATATATATAATTGATTGCAAGAAAAGATCAACGATGCAAGTCCACCATACCGACCACAAGCAAATATGGAAGAGTTCTCACACATATAGTAGTCTACTTATGGGTGATGACGATTAATGTGCGGTAGATGCTAAATCATCCATACAGTTGATAGCCACTCAGTATTAGTCAAATACATCAGCCTTCTACAAGCAAAGATCAAAGATCTACAACACATATGATCTCTCTACGAAGACAAATATATGTGCCACATGCCACTGATGGGTAGATGCAAAAAGACTTCAATAAATACAGTATCATGTAGTCAACCTCAGTCTACAAATGAAAAGAATACATCCACCTGCAGCAATAGTGGATGTGTTGTGGAGATCAGAACCACAGCGAAATGCATAAAGATTGTGGCGAATGCAAGCTTCTATGAACTATCGTAGGAGATCTATTCTGCACTCAATATGTTGTTTGCAAGAAATACAAAATACAAGATGACTACGTCGAAATGCAAATCTCTATGAGCTATCGTAGAAAACCTTTCAAGCATTCCAAAAATATCCCACACAAGTGCACCATAGCTTGTATACACATAGGTACACAAAGGGATAAATATAATCTGAAACCCGCATGGGCCCTGGCGAGCGTGCTATTGGTACACACGTGACGTCTAAGGATGCTGCACGGGTTATTAAATTTAAACCCGATCCTCCTTAACAAGTAAAAAGGAGTCAACAGAGTTTAATTATAAAATGCCCCTAAACACCCGCATGGGCCTCGGCGAGCATGTTGTGCAAACACACGTGATGTTTAGAGATGCTGCGCGGGTCAATAAGTGAATTCAAGTTCGAACCCGATCCTTCTATACGGGTCAATAGGAGTCGACAGGGTTCGAACCATTAAGCAAATGTAAGGTTGTGGGAACCGATATATTTGTTTTAATACATTCATATTAGACCTTCAAAGTCTATAACAGTATGAATTCACTCACAGGGGCATAAAACCTACAAAATCTGATCCTCTATCGATAACTCGACAAAGTTGACAAGATTAAATCCATAAAGATAAATGACTTCGAACACCCCGACGATGGCCGTGTTGAATTTCTATCTCAACCGAAGGGGTTCACAAATATTTTCAAATGCTACTCAAATACCCACGAAACTCAAAATTCCAAAAATCCCAAAATCCCAAAAATGTTTAAAATTAAAATCCAACTATCAACACTTAAAGCAAACTTCATCCACCATCTGCAACAGTTTTCCGGGGTGGACAAATTAAAATTTACTTCAACTCACAAAAGAGCTAAATGTCTAGTCAAAAATATCACTAGGATCAATTTTCAAACATCTCCTACCAATAAGGACGTGGTACGTGTCTTCTAACCGACGGTCTGCCGCCAAATGGCACCGTAGGATAAACGGTTATGACCCGGGGCCCTCTGAACCGAGTGGTTTTATCGCCAAATGGCACCACGAAATACCGGTTATGGCCAGAGCCGATACACTCCTTATTGGCATTAAATTCTTGAGATATAAATCAATAGGATATGATCGATAGGGCACAAAGCCCTCTGTTAGCTAAGGTGGATTCAAATTTGTCCCCTTAGGCAAATATCCATCTTAGGTCTACAAGGTCCCATTAGATGAAGCAACCCATGGCTGCCGACAAGGATCCTTCTGTCAGGTTGGGTACTACCTCCTCTAACTAAGTAGACCAGGGACCACGATGGCCCGGGACGACGGAACCATGGGATCTTGATCGTGTCTATCATCCCCACCATCCGCTTTAAGTGCACGATGGTGAAATTTCTATTTTAAATATCAAATCTGCCCAAATTTCCAAACTTCCAAATATTTCCAAATCCATACCCAATGCTGCTACTATATGCTTGATATTGTGTATCGACAGATATAACGTATCTGATTGACGACTAGCCTTAATCGAAAGTTCTCTCTCGTTATCGAGAGGGGTAATTAACTATAAGGGCTTGCGCCTATAGGAAACCAGAACTCAGATAATAAAGTCCTCGTAAAATGAGGGAAAAATTTCTAGGTAGTGTCTTATCTACAAACTCATCTATCAACACCACTACCTCCTTGTTTGCTATTTCTTCTCTCACTTTCATGGTGTGCTTTGGAGTGAATCCCACTACTGAGTTCAAGGAGACATCTGCCACGTCTAAATGCAGCTCTTCCTCCACCACTGGCTCACTCTCACCTCCCTCCTTAGCTTCCTCGTCATCACAAACAGTGAGAACTTGAAAATTTCGGTCCTTACACCTGTGCCTCGGTGTACACCTATCATCGCATATAAAATACAATTCTTTCACCCTCCTCCTGTAGCTCATTCTCAGTGAGCTTTTTGAAGTTTCGCTCGGTCCTCTCTCTTATAGTTTTCTAGTTCTCATTAGTAGTGATGCCATCTTCAATGAAGAGATGTCATCATTAGTAGAGATGCCATCTTAAATGAAAATGACGTGATGATTGGATATATTATTAAAAGAAATAAAAAACCACAGAGAGCACTGATGATATAGTGAAATTGCAAGAGAGTAGTGATACATATTAGTTGCGGGTGGAGATGATATCGGTAGTTGGCATTAATCAAGATCAACACAAAGAAGCTGCTACTCAGATATTTTAGAGAAGTATAGTTTAGCTAGAGATCAAACAAGGAGGAATATAAGAGCACTTGAACGTTTAGGTTACGTTGATTAAACTGCGTATACTTTTGTAGCTGTTGAACAATTGTTAGAAGATGAGACAATATCTTACAAAGAAGTTATGAATAGTGATGAAAAGGGTTTATTAAAACATGCAATGGAAGTGGAAATAGAATCACTAGAAAAGATCTATATGTAGAAACTTGTGAATAAACCACATAACAAATGAATTATGAGTTGCAAGTGGATATACAAAAGAAAAGATGCTATTCCAAATGTTAAGCAAGAAAGATACAAGGCAAAGTTAGTAGCAAAGGGAATCAATGAGATTTTCTCTTCTATTGTCATATATATTTCGATCAAAGTGATTTCATCTCTAGTAGTCATATATGATCTTAAGCTTGAATTGATGGATGTGAAAACATCTTTTCTGAATGGAAAACTTGAGGAGGTCATATATATGAACCAATTAGATGGATACATCAAAACTATTCAAGGAAAATAAAGACCGTCTCCAAAAAAAAATCTTTGCATGGGATAAAATAGTCTATGTGATAGTGGTATAAGAAGTTTAGCTCATTTATGATTCAAAATTTCTTCAAAGGAAGTAAGTTTGATACATGTGTTTATTATTAAAGATTATAAAAAAATAGTGTAATATTTTACAAATTGTAGGATGCTTGTGCTGAATCACAATAGTCTCTGCGATAGTCTCCCAATGGATGTAGGATGCTCGCGCTGAATAATATATATTTTTTGTATTTTTTTGCTTCATATTGTTGTTTTTTCTATTTATGTACTTTCTTTATTGATTTTGGTGAAATGAGTTTACCCATATTGTAGTTGGAAAGGTTATAGAAGTTCTTGTTTGATTAAACAAATAGTATTGTTGTTGTTTTGCAAATGATAATCAAATAAGTTTGATCATAGTCAAGAATCACTTAGTTTTATTTATGCATAGTTTAGTGGAAAAAGACACTTCCTACTAATTGTTAATTAGTTAAGCTTCCTAATATTTTTTTTATTATTATTAGATAATTAATCTAATTCTTTGATTACAAAAACCAAGAGTTATGTGTTGCAGAGATGAGGATGCTCAGGTGGATAATTGGCTTTACTCTTAAAGATAGGATATGAAATGAGCACATACATGAAAAAGGTTGGAGTAGCTCCAGTAGAAGATAAGATTAGAGAGAGTCGCCTTAGATGGTCTGGTCACATAAAACAGCGGCCTTCCGATGACCCCGTTAGGAAAGTAGAGGTATTAGATTTAACTTATGTTAAGAAAGGTAGAAGCAGATCTAAAAAGTCATGGTTAGAAAATATTAGAAATGGTATTTCTTTATTAGATTTAAAGGAGAATTTGACTTTTAACAAGGCACAATGGAGAAAAAAGGATTCATGTAGCCAACCCCACGTAGTGGGACAAAGGCTTAATATTGTTGTTGTAATTGTATGCAAAAGTGATTCAGCAAATTTGTAATTCTTATTTATTTCATTTAAGCAGTTTGCAGGTGTGTAGTCGGAATTTAAATAAGAGGTCCTTTTACGCAACATAAATGCTTATTTGGAATTCTTAATATGGGTTGTTTAGAAACTTCACAAGTCAGTTAGATTTTCATTTAACAATCTTTTTATATTTAATTTTGTGGTGTATCACAGTCATTATGCCACTTTTGCGGTTGAGTTTGGCACCCTCAATACAAAAACTTATATGCCATCACTTTTTATAATCATCATTGGCAGCATTACCTAACTATTGGGACTGATTTTATGAATATTCTTTTTGTAATCATTGTTATGAATGCTAAATGAGATGTGAACTCTATTATGTGTAAGCCTTCTGCATAACTTCTAGTCCTGATACCTTTGGATCTGCCATTTATCGTTTCTACTCCTTCAATATTAATAGTATATACCTTATTGTGCATCTTTGTCTCCTCTGTTGTAAGTGCTCAAACAAGCTAAATTATTTTCATCTACGATATCTTTAATTTTTGACAGACAAATTTTGTATTGGCTATAACGTTTAATTAATTTAAAGCATGATCCTAGCTAACATAGTCATGATGGAAAAAGTGCATTTTCCTTTTCTAGCTTCTTATTTTTCCACCCATTTAAATAATTAAGGCAGTCACAACGCACAGTCACAAGAAATTAATTGCTTAACTAAAAAAAAAAAAAAAAAACTGAAGTCAATTAATGCTTTATCATAAAAAAAAATCTATAATCATCTAATAATTTTACTAGATCAAACATTTCTAGTAGTTCAACAGAAACCTCCATACTTTGACAATATTAGAAAAACACAAGTACCTTGGCTAAAAGCGAATGTTCTGCATGAGATCCTACAGGACTGCTGCATCTCTTCCCAGTGGTGATTTCAAGAACCAGAATACCAAAGCTGTACACATCTACTTTCTCAGTAAGAAGCCCATGCACAATATATTCCGGAGCAAGATAACCCCTAAATGAAGTATTAAAGTCTTAGTTATTTAGTTAGAAGCTGTGAAACTAGCATAGATAATTGATATACAAGTTGTCTCGCACTAATGCACAAAACTTTGGGTTTGTTTGCGATGGCTATAGTGTTTTATAAAGTTGATTGTGAATAAAACAATTTTGCTATTATGATTGTAGAAATCAGCTTTCCATCACAGAAAATTTTAAAAAATAGTGAAAAATTAGTAGCAAAATAAAAATATAGTTGCTATTTGAAAAATAAATCAGTAAGAAAGCTTTCCCTTTATGAAGGGGAGACTTTTTTAACATCAAGCAACATAAGTGAGAATATAAGTGAGAATAGAAAATATCCGTCTTCCTGTACCAACAAGCATAATTCTGCATTTCTGTAAGTGAAAAATAGTGTTCTTACAGTGTTCCGGCGATCCCAGTAGTAAGGTGAGTTTGATCTTGAGCAAAACATCTTGCAAGGCCAAAGTCAGTAATTTTAGGCTTAAACTTGGCATCCAATAGGATATTACTAGCCTTGATATCTCGATGAATGATTCGTGTGTCGGACTCTTCATGGAGATAAGATAGACCTTCTGCAATTCCTTGAATGATATCAAATCTTTGCTGCCAGTCTAAAAATTTATCTTGATTTTCATCTGCTCCAATATATGATAATGAGAAACCAAAGGATGATGTGAACATAATTTAGCAGTAAATCGTTACTGAAATAAAAGATGGTAAATACTTAATCAGGAAAAATAAATATTATCAGTGTTATGGTGCACGGGCAAGTACAGGATATTAACTGAAAAATGAGGTATTTACATCTTCGGTATACAATCTCAAAGACAATGTAGTGGGATAAAAACTTGTTATTATTGTTATATATAATCTCAGAGGATTAGGGACTTAAAACAAAGACCTATTACTTGCAATAAAATCTGGAGTAGAGAACTAATCATCTGCAAACAATAAGATGAGCAGTGATGGTGAAACTGTCGAGCTTGCCCAAAGCTTTGTTACCAATTGTTAGAGTAGTCTAACTACTTCAAATTAGTCAAACACTCGAACGGTGTGGGACAATTAGGAGACTAAAGTAAAGTTGAGGTCACTTATTTGAATCATGAACCAGAGATGAAAAACGAATTGTGTTCATCAATGTATCAAAAACTAGAGCTTAAGCAGACTTAGGCTTGATTTGGGACAGTTTTTTTACCATTTTGTAAAGCTGCTGTAGAGAAACTAATTTTTTAAAATTGTCGTAGAAAGCAGCTTTCTAATGCAAATTTTTTTTGAAAGCAATAAAAAAATTGCGATCAAACATAAATTGTGGATGCGGACTAAAAAATAAAATAGTAAGAAAGTTGTCCCAAATAAAATCTTAAGCTGACCAAAGTTATAATCTGAACTAACCAAATGTGCCAACTTCATTATTCAACTTGATAAATTCAGAAAGCTTCGAATGGAATCTTTTCACTAGAGAAGAATGTCTTATAGGGCCACAAGACGTACAAAAAGCAGTAAGATTTCAGATTTCTTTTTCAAAAACATAATGGTGGAGTTACAACTTTAGTAAGGAAGCTATTCACTTATAAAATAAAGAAAAACTGGTTGTTTCTGATATCGAAATAGAAATCAAATGCCAAGGTATGCTTTTGCACAACGGTAATAAAGAAAAGCCTAACTAGTTGATGAAGTAAACGGTGAGTGATAATAAAATAAAAGCATGTGAGTCGGAAAAAGCTTCAAAGTACCAAATAAAAAAAGATCCAGGCTCTTGTTGTAGTAGTACTCATAAACAAGTAAGCTCTCTGAACCATCTAGACTGCAGCCCAGCAGCCTCACTAGATTCTTATGGCGAACTTGGTTTACCAGATCGACTTCATTGAAGAATTGATCGATCCACTGCTTTGTGTTAAGAAACAGCTTCTTTACAGCCACTTCCGTCCTATCAGAAAGAATGCCCTGTAATCAAAATTAGCATTTAGAACTCAAGACACTTTACTAGTCAACTCTGCTAGAGTGCCACATTTACCTTGTATACAGTCCCATAACTACCTTGACCAAGTTTGTTTGACAAGCTAAAGTTATTTGTAGCCTTTTTCAATTCTTCATATTTGAAGTTTAAATTTGACTGAGAAATGGCTGCTGCAATTTCAGGCCCATACAAGTCTGAAATAAGAAGAATAAGGTATTACAACCATCAAATTGCAAGGTACACTTCGGATTTTAACTAAGGTAATTATGTTGCCTACCTTTTAGTGATGGACTCTTCTTTCTTCCCAACAAGCCTCTTCTTTTTGCAATCAAAATTGCTCCCACCAGTATAAGAATACCACCAAGCAACGAACCGACTATTGCCCATATGGTTTTACTTTTACCTAAATGTTACGAAGATTCTGATCAGCAAACCAAAAAGCGAATGAAAATTAATGCTTTGTTTGGGACGACTTTCTTACGGTAGTACAAAAATTTTAATTCATTTGTACTATAAAGCTGTTTTAAGAAGCAACAAGAAAGTCGTCCCAAACGAAACCTAAGAGTTCGTTTGAGACGGCTTTTTTAGTGCTTTCTTAAACAATGTTTTAGTTAAAAATTTTCTTGAATTAGAATTTTTTTAACTAAAAAGCTGTTTTAAAAAGCAATGAGAAAGCTATCACAAACGAAGTCTAAATCCTCTTTAGATCAATGTCAAAGGAGAGCAAAACAGAAAAAAAAAATAAAAAAAAAACACAAAAACAAGGATAGATTAGCAAGAGTTTAGGTATTTTACAAGTTCACAACAGCAACTAATAAATTTAAATGGTGAAATTAATATTTTGAATAAAATATCTATGTGATTTTCAATTTACAACTCAGGATTACTTCAAACTTCTTAGGTCTTGAAGTTTAGTTTCTACGTGGAGTGGTCATGCTGAAACAATACAGTGGCACAACATTGCTAGCTATCAGCCGAACTAGATTAAACATTAAACATTAAACAAACAAAAAATTGAATTACAATAGAGGAAGAAAATGCATGAAAGTATTAGGAAGAAAAGAATATAACTAATTATTGATATGTAATCGTCTTGTTAACCCTACCAATAAAATTGATATTTGGCACCTAGCTGTTTCTAGTTCTGCAATGTTATCTTCAGTGACTGTTTTTTACTTTCAACTTGTGTATTTTGATTTCTCTTTCCGTTTGAGCAATAGCAGTCTAATTAGCACTTTTTTTTTTCAAGAGTGTTTAAAAACGCCCTTGAGTTTCTCAGAAAAGAAAGATCTCTACTATATTTTGAACTCAAATTTAAGCTTTGTTTGGGACGGCTTTCTTAATGTTTCTCAAAGTAGTTTTCTAACACAAAAAAAAAAAATTAAGTACTATAAAGCTGTTTTAAAAGGAGTAAGAAAGCCATCTCAAACGAAGCCTTAATCTATGCCAAAGGGAATTATTTTCTACCTAGTTCTGATATTTTCCTGGTAAACATCTAAAATAAGAGGGCAAAAAAAATCTAATCAGGAAAATAGAGTAAAATCAATTTGCATTCAAACAAGTGCCGTATTACATAATACTAGAAAACCTAAGGAAGCAATAAGCAAAACCATATAGGTTCACAGATACATTAGTTGTAGAAGCCATTAAAAAGAGAAAACTCTCATCTCCTTTTTTCCACTCATGCCAACTTCTCATAGAAGTCAATCCATATTCTGGATCATTGTAAGCCCATAAACTATTTCTAGTAATCCATGGAAAGAAAAATAGGGAAAATGAAGTTTTAATTGCAACTAAGCCCATATTCTCTTCTCCATATAACTAAAATCAAGATTGGGTTAAGACTTCATTTGGGACGGTTTTCTTGCTGCTTCTTAAAGCAGCTTTCTAGTACAAAATTTTTATTTTTTTTACTAAAAAGCTGCTTTAAGATGCAATAAAAAAGCCGTTCCAAACAAAGCCTAAATGATTAGTGATTCAATTTTTGTAATTCTGCTGAACCATAGCGTAAACTAACATAAAATTGCGAAATTATCATCATCACATCATAAAAACTTTTTACTAGTTTAGCACAAAGAATGTGTTTCTGACATACCCTTAGAACTGGAAGGTGAATTGTTTACATTCCAGAAAAGTCCTGTCGAGTATCTTATGAAACAACCAGCATAGAGAGCCCGACCTTCCATAGATGGGGAACAAGAAAGAATTTTTGAAGCAGCAGAATCAAGACATGAGCTACAAAGTGAATGGTTTAGGTTCTCCCAGCACTGAGCAAGAGCATAAACAGTAGAATTTGAGGCTGAAGCTGAATCAACAGCAAAACCATGATTATGCCGAGCTTGCAAAGACACATTACCAACTACGGCCTTCACAAGTTGACCAAAAATACTTGGATCTGAACTGTTTTTACTGGAAGAACAGACAGCTCTATCATCTATAGAATATATTTCATTAAAGAAAGAGTAATTCTCATATCTCCCAAAACATCCATCAAGAAAAATTATACCACCAGTCTTGGGATAACATTTAGGCAGCTGAGACCTGATCTCAGAGAAGCAAAGCTTACAATCAATTGGACTAAGATCTCCATAACACTGAGCAAGAGCATAAACTGCATTAGGGTCTACCCCAGTTATGTTTGTTCCATAACCATTTGCATTAACCGAACTGCTTAGATTGTCCATTGCAGGAACAAAATTGTCTGCAAGAATAGAACCAGAAGCAGCCAACGTGTCATCGCAAAATTGCCCTACAAGACTGGTTCTTGGATCCCCTATCGCAGTCTTCAAAATGCCCACTGATAAAAACGCAAGGAAGATAATCTGAATGCTTTCCGCACGCCCCATTGTTAGATTTCTCAAGCACCTAACTTTCTATATAGCGAGGGATAGATGCTCTAAAAAAAAGGTAGATAATGCCGCCTTCTCAAATTATAAATATGCTAACAGAAGGTTACAATCAGCTAAATGAAGAGTCTTTAGTGTTTCCTTCACAGTATCATTACTTGAATGTAGAATGTATTCGCAAATTGCTAGTTATACATCTGCAAGAAAAAAAAAACACAAAAAATAAGATCAAAAGCAGGAGAATTTGGCAGACTAAGATCTATCTCCAACCCAAAATCTCATTTTTCATTTCAAAATGCTGTGAAACTAAAAAAATGCCATGATTCATCCAATTGAACTCCAATTTTGCGAAGGTAACGTTCTTTCTTCTTTTCACGCGTTTCTTCTACAAGTTAGGTAGAGACAACAAAATAGTCGAGATGAACAGTGCAATGTCAATATTGGTGTCCCACTGTTCACCCTCAAACAAATAGCGGAAGTTTTACCATTCCGTGGAGCTTTGTAACAACGCCTTCAAACGTTCGGAGTTCAATTGGAGATGCCCTAATAAATAATTCTATTCCATGGCATTTATTGCACAAGTTCAGCTAAACATCGGCAAAATGCAGACTTTTATCAGAAAAATTAGAAAATGGAACCAAATCTTCTGCCGAAACTAATTGATGTATCTGATAGAAATTCAAAGAAAAAACATAAATCTTCCAAAAAGAAGAAATTAAGTTGAAAGGAATGCGAGAAAAAAATTGCGACTTTCTCATTACCCATCTCAAAATCACACAGAATGAACAAGACTGAAAGACAAATACTTGCAGTACTCCAAAGAGCATGCCCTTATCAAACAAGGCTATTGAACGACGAGTGGAATCTTAAATAGAAAATCCACTAATCAAAACACCAGTATCACCAGATTCAGGGAAACTACATAGAAAAATTTTCAGCAGGGAGGAGCTGTTTGTAAACTGTTACCTCCCAATTTGCTGCGAAAGTATTCCATGTATGAAGAAAATTCAGAGAAAAGAGGTCAGACAGGAGAGAAAAATCTCGGCTTTCTGCTTGTGAATGTGGACAGGGCTCTTCAGAATCATAGAACTCTTCGTCATAGTTTGACCGTTATTTCCCCCCTCTTTGGTTTTACCTTTTGTTTTTTTAAGCTTCCCAGTTTCCCTTGCCGTCCCGCAACCTTGGCCGTATATGATTCAAGAAAGAATCGAAACAACGGTAGAAACTGCGTTATAAAAAATTTTTGAAATTGATTCTAAGCTGTTGGAAGCTCCCAAGTTCCCCTAAACAATGATCTGCTATTAAAAATGTCTTACAGATCATTTAGAATGGCTGGACTCTTGTGATCATGATGTTTTTTAATTCTTATGGCAGAAATTTAAAAATTTAACGCGTTAAAAATGGTAGTAAAAAGTCAATATATAATATATTTTTGTTTCATTTGACTTTAACAATAATTTTTGTGTTCATCAGAAGTTTATAATTTTTATTTGGGGGATTTACATACGTAGCCCTCAAAATTTTTTACATTTATATATTTAACACATAGTTTCATATTTATTCACATAAAAATTAAAAATTTAAATATAAAAAAAAAATATTTATTGTACTTAAGTTGTCAAGATCCAATTTGTGACTTCTCATTTCTCCTCCTTTTTACTCTAAATCCCATATTTAGTAAATTTTGTCATTAAGCGGATTTAATTTAAATCAGCAAATCTCATGATTTCCTCTTTCAAAGGCGGAGCCAAAAAAAAATTTTTTGGAGGGTGGGGGGGCTAAATTAAAATAGTTATGTTTGGATCAAAATTAAGAATGCAAATAACATGACTCTTAGAGCTTATAAGACATAATTATTTGCCACAGACAGTCTTTGTTTGGGGGCGAAAGAGGAGTGAAAGGGAAAATGAAAGTCGTGCTTGTGATCATGACTCGTGAGTCGCGAGAGAGGAGTAAAGGGAAAAACGAACCATTGATGCTTTTTATGTGTCCAGAAAAAAGGTTGGTGACTCCTCTGGATTAATAAATAACTTTAATATGAAGAGTTACACAAATTAGAGTAGGTTTTCTCGTTGACGAACTTGTTGCTCTATTAAGCCACTAAAACAATTAGATTTAAGCCCCTTTCCGTTTTCAATTTTAGCTTTAGCCAAATCCTTTAGAGAAGATCTCTAGTACTAAATCCTAAGTGTGCGACCACAGTATTTCCGTTGCACAAAAAGAATGAGGAAAAGCAAAACGTACCCTTCACAGTAATTAATTAGATCATTAGCAGTGAAAAAATAATTAGGTGGTAATTTAATATTTAATAATTATTATTAGATAATGAATAGTTAGTTAACGATAAAAGTTTTAATAAAATCATATTTAATTATGATTTAAATAATTAAATAGCCCTGCAGCTCTGTGTCAAAATCTCTTTTCATCATTCGGTCCATAATGGAAAGTCATTCCTCCCTCTCTCTCTTTCAATACACAACCCATTAGTCTTTCTATCTCTACAACTGAAGCATTGCATGGTCTAGGTAGAAGGTGGATTGAAGACTTGAAATGAAAAAAGCCTTTCACCTCCCTCCTCTTATGCTCTTCTTCACACATTGACTCTCTTGTTGTCGTTTGTCATGGGGAAACTACGCCCAAGTCACCTGTGCGGTCTTAGCACACCTCCCTAGTGCCAAGCAGCCTTAAACTCCTACAAGGCTTGACTAAAAAGAGAGAATTTGAATAAGAAAGCTTTATTATTACAAGGGAAATTATACAAGAAGAGTTTTGAATGGGTGTGAGAAGATTATTATAAATGAGAGGGAGAGGTTCTATTTATAGCCCTCTACTCATGTCTAAGAACTTTCTAAAATTTCCTTCATTATACTTGAGTGTGGAGCTCTCTAGAATACTCCACACTATTCTCTACACTCTTTATATATATCCATAATATTCTAGGTAGTTCTAGAGCATCCTAGAATATGCTCTAAGTATCCAAACCATTCTAAAATATTATAGAGTACTCTAGAATCTTCTAGGAAACTCTAGGTCTTTCTAGAACATTTCAGGGCCTTCCAGAATATTCTAGAATCTTTCTAAGCCTTCTAAAATATTTTAGAACCTTCCAATGTCTTCCAGAACCTTCCAATGTCGTGTGACCCCATCTCAAGATGATTCTAGAGGACTCTTTGGCCTCCACAAAATATGTCACGCCTAAGAGGTTTAACCAAACCTCTAGCCCCAAGTTTTGAGCATGACACCTTGCTCCCATCAATGCCTTCTCCAAGGAGTTCCCTTGGGCAAAATTAATTTAAATCCACAAACCTCATGAACTCATCTTCGTCTTCGCGCTCTCGTGCAATATTTTTTGAACATTATAGAATGTTTCGAATTTCAAATACAAAATTTTTATATCTAATTTACTTCAAATCCAATACTAAAAATATTAAAATCTTTATCTTTCTTTTATGCTCCTCTCCTAAAACTAGCAACCAAATAGCCCTTAAAATACCTTGGAAGACATCACCAAAATATCTTTGAGGTTGAAGTTGTGCTTCCCATTTCATCCCATCAAATAAGGAAAGATAAATTAATTCCACTAATTTCTTAAGTGAATAGACCTAAATTCTTGATAAGGGTTTATTTAATTGAACATTTTATATGTTTAACGATTATATAAAATTGAAATAAATATGTACATATTATTTGAATAATCAAAATTAAACTTATTGAATGCTAAAACAATCATTATTGTAAAAAAAAAAAAAAATCTCCTTAGCATTGAAAACAAATCCGCACACGCTCATTGATTGTTAGATAAGTTTTTTTTTATTACCCTGACGTAGGCTTAAAGTATGTGTTCTTGGTCAAAAGGCATTTTTTATTAAATTTTTCATTAAAATTTAAGAGAAAATTGATGAAAAAAAAATATTTAATATGATCACATCTACGTCAATAGGGGGAGCATTGATGAGCTACTCTTATCTTTGACTTTGTTCAAACTTTGGTAAAATATTTTAATATTCTATCATATTTAGCTGTTGGATTCCTACGTTTTCAACGTTGTGTTTACTTCGTGGAAGACTCATAGGGAAAGAAGGGTTGAAGATTTTTTCAGACTAATCTTAAAAGAGAGATTCAATTTTAGATCAACCTAAATTATAAACATACTTTTAGTTTAAAAATAGCATTGATATGTCACTCAAAAATTATCTTGATCAGGCATGTATCTCGAGGCAAAATCGAGTTGGAAATTGTCGAAATTAAATTCAAGAGCATATGATTTCGATTTCTGCAATCAATTCAGGAGCATATGATTTCGATTTCTGCAATCTTGCTGTCGAATTGAACATCTCAAAAATATGAACTCAACGACACCAAATTCGACTCAATCCGAGCCCAAAAGGGTTCAAATAGAAGACCCGAAACGCATTTGGAAGGCTCAAACCATAATTTGGATTACCAAACGATTTTCAAGCATGACATGCTTATAGTCAAATCGAGCGGCTCGACGAGACAAATCCAACGAGTTAAGATTGCTAAATTTTAATATCATTAAGATATTCAAATGTCCAATGAATGGTCCACGATCAAATGAATCAACACCGGCCATCCATTCAAACCACTCCCAAATTACCTTTGATTTTCCTCCTATTTACTCGTCATACCACTCTTAGAAAACTATAAATTAACCCCTCATTTCTCATGAAAGAGGGGTCAAGCAAGAAAAGAAGGAAGAGTTCTATTGCCACCAAACTCCTCCTTGATCATTACCAGACTTCAGCCCAGCCACCGACTGTCGCCAGACTTCCGTCTAGCTAACGATTGAATACATATTTCTGCTTGGTAATCAACTGCAGTCGGATTTGTGTCTGGCCACCAACTGACGCTTGATTTTTGCTTGGCCACCGACTGACGCTGAATTTCTGCCAGGTCACCTATTGAAGCCGAACTTCTGCCCGACCCCCAACTAACGCCAGACTTCCATTCGGCCGCTGACTAACGCTAGTCTTCCACCTGACTTCCAATTATTATTGCACTTCCACCCAAAAGTGGTCCTTCCGACTTCCTTGGCCAGATAATGATCTTTATGACCTTTGTCACCTGCTGACTACAATCTTTATGACCTCTATCGTCCGCTAGACAACAGTACTCCTTCTGACCTCCGTCACCTGTCGACTATAGTCCTTCCAACTGTTGTCGCCCGAATACGATCTTTCTGACTTCTGTTGCCTACTGACTATGATCTTACCGACCAAACTAACATATCAATATTGATTCCTCCAATTTCCACCATGTAATGGATTCTAAAATATATGATGTATATTTGTTGCATCAAATAAAGGCCTTCCCTTTGAAGGGCCTAGTTTATAATCAACGGCAAATACTAGTGGATTCATTCAAACAAGGCTAGGCCCCGTGGTTTTTCCCCTTTTCAGGGTTTTTCACGTTAAAATCTTGGTGTCTCTTATAAATATTGCACCAACTCTCTTATATGATTGTGTGCTGGATCTTCGTACAAAGCTAAGACGTTAAATTTTATATTTCTCTACCGATGTGAATATTCCAGGATGCAACAAGCATATTTGCTAAGGTTTGAAGTTCTTATTTAACTTTTGAAGATTTGGAAGAATAAGTAGAAATATTTCACCAAATAAACTAAAGTTTTTAGATTTAAAATTAGTTTTATAAGTGGGTGTATGACCCTTCTTGGGTTTGTTTAAGAGAACTCTTTCAGTGCTTTATTTTTCAAATAGCAACTATAATTTTATTTGACTTCTACTTAGTGCTAGAAGAGAGAAGTGAGAAGGAGAGAGAAAAAAGGAGAGGGAATTGGGAGGTTGTAACATAGGATTCGTTCAGTGGGTCAATTGAGGATTTCGTAAAGCACAATGTAGCCTTCTACCATCTTTGATTTCAATTCCAATTATTTTATAATATGATATGGATAAAAATATAATTTTCTCTAGTTTTATGATGTTTTGATCATGTAACATTTTATATACTATAGTATGTTTTAATCTAGATATTTTAACTATATGAAGTTAAATTTTTATCCATTAATTTTTTCTGTGATGATTTTTTCCCATATTGAATAAATGAGGCATTTTTAATAGTCCTAATAGTTTTTCAAAAGTCTTAAAATGCTTCCTTGGATACAACAACAATAACATCAAGCTTTTATCTCACTATGTGGACTTGACAACATGAATCTTTTTTCTCCATTGT